GCCTCCCTCCTCGTGACTGCTGAAAGCGGTTAAGACGAATGTGTGTGCGCAGCACTGAAGCGATAGCCCCAGTGTGATGATCACCCGCCATCAAGCCTGGCAGTCGCTGGGAACTGTTTGGACGAATGCGCGCAGCGCTTAGGCGGCCCGCCCTCCAGACTTGTTGTTGTTATAGCTTCCATGTTTCATGAGGAGAAGCGGCGAGGAAACCTCAAACGAAGTGTTGGGCCAGGGCTACCGCACGACACGTCTGGTGGTGCGACGGGGAGGAATTGTTCACATGTGCGGAGGAGGAGAAGGAGGGCGGAGGGAGGGAGGAGGATCGAGAATCAGAGTTTTCGGACGCTGGTGGCTTTTTCTGACTCTGGGGCTTCCAGGGAGGAGGATCGACTATCTAGGGTTTCGGTAAGTGTTAGCTTCTGATGGCCTCCAGACCAGAGCGAAGGCCTCCGGGGAACCCGTGAGGCATGAGCGGACGGGGGGGTAAGGGGCAGAGACGGAGGCGGAGGCAGCGGGGGTGTGGACAACAGCTTGGGCATGTTCTCAGAGAGATACAGGGCACGGTTCTAATTATGCCTGATCGCAGACTGCAAGTTGTTCATGGTGCTTTTTGGGGGGAAGGGGATGATAAGGGATTGCGGAGCAGAGCAGCAAAAAGGATGGGGGGGCTTGCGACAGCCTCAGCCTCCTCCTCCTCCTCCTCCTCCTCCTCCTCCTCCTCCTCCTCCTCCTCCTCCTCCTCCTCCTCCTCCTCTTCGGAACCTCCTGTCCCTGCTCCCCTTTATCCCATACTCGTCACTCTTCATGGGATTGGGCTCGGATTGGGGATGAGGGAGTAAGAGGGCGACGAAGGACGACGAGGATGATGCTGCTGGAAGGACGAGCTGCTGGCGTGCGCTTCGGCGCTCAGCGCATGGGCGCTGCCATTTGTGAGGCCGTCGGGTGGCGCGTTCATCGAGGCTCGTCCTTCTCTCAGCGCCTCCCTCCATTCCCTGGCCAGACCCCTCACTCCTCCCGCATCTTCCCTCCACCCCCCAACCTCTCCCTTCCCCCCCCATCCCTCATCCTACTCCCTCCTCTCTCCCTCCCTCGCCCTCGCCCTCCGTCCCTCGCCTCCCCCCGTCCCCCCCCCCCTCCTCCGGCCCCTCCTCTCTCCCATCCCGCCCTCCTCTCGCCCCCTTCTCTGCTTCGCTCCCCCCCCCCTTCCCCGTCCCCCCCCCAGCTCCCCCCCTCCTCTCCCGCCCGCTTCCCCTGCCCCCCCGTGCCAGAGGGGGGGAAGGGGAGGGGAGGGGGCGCGCCCGCCCCTCGTCCCGTGGACCGCCCCCTCCGCTCCCGTCTGCCCTGCTCTCGCTCCCCCCCCCCGCGCTGCCCTGCCCTCCAGTCCCCCCCTCCCCTCCTCCCTGGTGCCTCCTCCCTTTCGCTGCCCTCCCTCCCTCGCCCTCTCGTCCTGGGCCCCCTCCACCCCCCCCCCCGTGCTCTCCCTCCAGTCCCCCATCCTCTCCTCCCTGTTCATCCTCCCCTTCGCTGCCCTTCCTCCCTCCTCCCGCTCCTCTCCCACCCGCCCCACGCAGGGAGGCGGGGCATGTTTTTCTCACAGGGTCAAAAAAATCCCTTTCAGGGTAAAGAGGATTTCACCCAGGTCCAAAAAAATGTTGCACGGCCCCGCGGCGTGGGACATCCTCCAAAAATCCTGTGGGAAGGACTGGTCGGTTCGTGGGTTGGTTGGCTGGTTGGCTCGCCAGATTCTGGGTCAAGCTCATGTTTCCTGGGGTGGTTGGTTGATTGGTCGGTTGTGCGGCGGTTGGTTGGTGGGCTGGTTGGTGGATTGGTTGTTGATTGCTTGGGCGGTTGGTTGGCTGTGTGGCGGGTTGGTTGGTTGGTTGGCTGGTTTGCTGGCTGGTTGGCTCACTGGCTTCCGGGCCAAAAAAATTTTCCGAGGCGATGGGATGGATCGTTGGTTGGTTATTTGGTTGGTTAATTCGTTAGCTGGTTGGTTTGTTGGGCGGTTGGTTCGTTGGTTGGCCGGTTAATTAGCTGGTAGTTGCTCGGATGGTTGGTTGGTTGGATGGCTGGGTGGCCTGTTGCCCGCTTGCCCAGGTAGTTGGCCGGTTCTCCCCTCCACTACACTTGCCTTCTTCACTTGCCTTCTTCCCTCTTCCTCCCGCCATTCCTCATCCTTCCCTGCCTCTTCTCTGTGTTTTCCTCCCTTCTCCTCCCGCCCTGTCCTCCTTCTCCACTCGCCTGCAATTCACTGCCATGCACTGTGCTGCAACTGCAATATGCATGCAACGCAGTGTTATCCAATGCAACGCAACAGGATGGCAACGCACTGCAATGCAACGCAAACGCAAATGCAAAGCAACGCAGTGCAACAGGATGCAACGCAGTGCAGCGCAACACGATGCGACGCAGCGCACTGTGCGCCTCGTCGGGTGGCAGCGCCGCGGGACCGAACAAAAAAAACCGTCCCGCTCCCCATCGCCACGTGGCGGCGCCTCGGCGGGCGACCGAGTACCGTTCCACACTCTTCTCGCCGCGCGGCAGCGCCGGGAGGGCCGAGAAACAAATGCCGGCCCACACGTCGTTCGCCGCGTGGCACCGCCTAGGGGGGGGGCGGGGGGGCGAAAAAGTATCTCGGTCCCCGTGTGTTGTGTGACCCCCCCCCTCTTGAGGCCCCCAGATGTTCCCGCATCTTGGTCTGTGGCGGTTCTGGCGAGGCACCACACAATACCCTGGTGTGGGAAGAAGAAGGGAGTTGAGTTGAGGGTTGAGGGCACATAATACTACCGTGGCTGAAAAAAATTAACGCGAAAACCATTCGTAACCTTGAACTCCGCCATGCAAAGAGATAGAACACAACCTCGGCGTAACCCGCCACGGGTGAAGGACAAGTTCTTCCGTGGTTCGCGTTTATTTTTTACTTGTTCATTGGCTGCCAGACATCTTACCGAAGCATTCTTCCTCAGGCCGTGGAATGGCGAAATCCAACGTTACGAATTGATTTCGCGCTAATTCTTTACATCCACGGTAGTCCACAGTATTCGTCACGTGGCAACGCCGCTCGGGGCCGAGCAGAAGTACTCGCCCACACTCCATGTGCGGCGTGGCGGCGCCTGGAGACTCGAAGAGGCAGCAGTCCGTCCACTCCGCTTCTCACGTGGCAGCGCCGAGGGGGCCGAACGAGGAAGACATGCCACTCGATGCGTCACACGGAAGCGCCGAGGGGGGCGAGAAGAGTAGCCACTCTCGCCACGTGGCCGTGTTCCGTCCCAGTCCTATACGATGCCACGAGGACGACGGCGAGAACGACGACGAGATGACGACGATGATGACGACGACGACGACGATGACGAGGGCCAGGGAGGCGAACAAAAGTTCTATCCTGTCCTCCTCCTCATCCTTGTCCCTGCCCCTGTCCTCCCCCCTCCTCCCTCCTCCCTCCTCCTTCATTCCCCCCCCCTTCCTCCCTCCTCCACCCTCCCTCCTCCCCTCCTCCATCCCACTTCTCCTCCTCCTTCCTCCCCTCCTCTCTACCTTCCTCCCTTCTCCTCTCTCCTGCCCTCCCCCTCGTCCGAAGCCTACTGCAAGGCAATGCACTGCAAATGCAATGCACATGCAACTCAGCGCAACGCAATGCAACGCAACACGATCGTTGGTTCTCCCGTTGCCTGGCTGGTGGCGGGTCGGTCGGTCGGTTGGTTGGTTGGCTGGTTGGGTGGCCGCCACGTGGCAACGCTTCGGCGGGCGGCAAAACACGATTCCAGTCTCCGCGGGAGCCGAAATACATACTATTCTGCTCGATTCGTCACGCGGCATCGGGCGAAAACGTATTGTGCCGCTGTGCTCGTCACGTGGCAGCGCCACGGGGGGACGAACACAAGTACTGAGCAACCCCGCGCGCCACACAGCAGCGCCTGGGAGCGCGAAGAAGCAGTATTCCATCCACTCGACTTGTCACGTGGCAGCGCCGCGGGGGCCGTTTCTTGTTTCTGATTATTGGTTTGTGATTCATTGATTTTGTTTTTTATACAGAAAACATAATAGTAAGAATAATAGTAATAGTAATAATAATAATAGTAGTAGTAGTAGTAATAATAATAATAGTATAATAACAATAATAATAATGAACGATTCATCACGTGGCAACGTTGCGGGGACCGACGAAAAGCATTGTGCCACTCCACCCGCCACGTGGCAACGCCTGGAGGCGCGAAGAAAAGGTACTCCGTTCTAGCCGTCGCGTAGCAGCGCCGCGGGGGCCGAAGAAAATGCCACGACGACGGCAAGGACGACGAGGACGACTACGACGACGACGACCACGAGGACGAGGGTCAGGGAGGCGAACAACATTTCGATCCTATCCTCGTCCTTCTTCCACCCTCCTCCCTCCTCCACCCTCCCTCCATCCTTCCTCCCCCTGTCTCATTCCTTCTCCTCCCCTCCTCCCCCCTCCTCCCTCATCACTTCTCCTCCTTCCTCCCCTCCTCTCTGCCTTCCTCCCTTCTCTTTCCTTCGGTTCTCCGACCCCTCGCCCGCGATCGACTGCAATGCAATGTACTGCAAAGGCTATGCAAATGCAACGCAACAGGATGAAGTGCAACGCAATGCAATGCAATGCAATGCAATGCAATGCAATACAACGCGTCACGTGGCAGCGCCGTGGGGGCCAAGCCAAAACATTGTGCCACGACGACGACGGTGACGAGGGCCAGGGAGGCGAACCAAAGTACTGTCCTATCCTCCCCCTGCCTCGTCCTTCTCCCTCCCTCCTCCTCCCTCCTCCATCCTCTATCCTCCCTCCCCCTTCCTCCTTCCTCCCCCCCTCCCTCGTCACTGCAAGGCAATGTACGATGTACTCCCCTTCCCTCCTCACCCTCCCTCCTCCGCTTCCTTCCTCCTCCCATCCCCCCTCCCCCTCCGCAACGCACTGACATGCAACACCGTACAACGCAATGCAATGCAAGTGCGGTACAGCGCAACGCAATACAACGAAACAAGATGCAGCGCAAAGCGGTGCAATGCAACGCAACGCCATGTAACGCAGTGCAGCGCAGCGAAATGCGATGCAAAGGCAAAGGCAAAGGCAAAGGCAAACGCAACGCCGTGCAACGCAGTGCAACGCAGCACTGCGCGCCCGCCCGCACGGCTGCACGCCCGCCTGCTCGCCCGCCCGCCCGCTCGGCCCTCTGCACGCGCAACCGAAAATATAAGATGTTCTTGCGGCTTGGGATCCCTTTTACATCCTGCTTCCCTCCTCCCTCTCTTCTACATGAGGTTTGGCTCGAGCGGTTTGCAAACCGGTTCCGCGCCGATCCCCGCCGCGACGCCCGCACGGGCCGCCATCCGCCAGGCGCGACGCCTGCTTACTCTCCTCCCTCCTACCCCCAGCGGCCTCGTGACGAGCCCGCTCCCCATCGCAGAGCGCGCAAACAGCGCGCAAACGCTCACACACTTTTAAGAGTGCACAAAGCCGCGATGATGCTCTCTCACCACCACTCCTTCCAGGGTCCCCCGCAGCAAGGCGCTGTTCCTACGACCTTGCCCCCGCCTAGCGCGTCGCCTCTATCGCCGACGTCTGGGCTGCAGCAGCACGGCATGGCTACCTCCCCCACGCAGCGTATGGCTGCTCCTCCCTCCCCGTCCCTTTATGCCACGCGCCTGCCCACCGACTTTTTTCCTCCACCCCAGCAGCCAGTGCACCAGAAAGGCAGCGCCCCTCCCGAGTACTGGTATTGCCTGCAGTGCGGCCGTGCCAATACCACTTTGGACGTTTCATGCCCCACCTGCTTTCCGACTTGGGCGGCAGGTCCTCAGCGTGCGACAGGCGGCCCCGCCAAAGGGCAGGCGCAGCACAAGCCCCTGCAGGGTGCGGGCCCTGGGCCGGGCCACAAGGGCCCACGCTCCTTTTCTGGAAGCGCGGGAGGGATGCACACGGGCAAAGGCCCTGCGCCGTCACCTG